ATCATTTTATCTTGATGTCTACTTTTTACTCTATAATTTGAGTTCACAACTGCACTGATATCTTAGGCAGTGTTATTATTATTATTATTATTTTTTTCAAGTATCCAGAAACCATGAGTTGTAAACTCTTTGGCTCGTTACTATGGATATCGCAACCCTTGATTCCATTATAGGTAAAGTTAATCTGGGAGAGATGTGGCTTTTCTGCCTACCCCCGGGAGTGACCCTGGACCACAAGGAGTTTGTCACCCGGCCGCCGCGAAAGTCAGGTTTAACCAACTACGCTAGAAAGCCGGGCTAGGCAAAGTTATAAAGATCGATGTTTTAATGCTTTGTAGTATGAAACCTGCACTACATTATCATTGCAAAATTACAACGCGCATTTACTTCAGTCCTCTGGCACACTGGGAAACATTTATTTCACCACTGCCAAAGGCCTTCCTGCTTACCCTTCATGATGGTTATTGCTTTATTTACTTATGACTTCAGAACACCATTGCTTTCATCTATGGTAATTTAGTCTCTACCACGAAGTGGCAACGCTGTTTGCCTTACGCTCAAGGTTGTGTCTTCATTTTGGGCTGTCTTTTGGTTCCGCGTACGCAGTAGGTCAGAATTCCCTGGATCGTTGCTGCAGCTAATGAGTTTCACGCTTTGTGCGTCACTTAAGTTGGCGACTAGTAACTCTGCAGAGAAAACAAGCAATATAGAAATACAACCCGGTGTAATTATGTCGGTCATCTTGCCTTTTAAACTGTGGGTTTATTTTATTTTTTTCCTGGAACAATTTCCAATCCTGTTAATGTCAGTTCTTTTGATACATCACTCTCCTCAAGTAGAATCTTCGCTTCCTTATCTCTGACATGGCCTCCTAAATGGACAGCTCTAATTTTTTTTTTTCCCATCTGAATGCATTTTATTGCCTATGAATAATCAGTCTTTTTCTATAGGCTTTAAATCAAAGTTTCTCAAACATTTTACACCCGCGATTTAACAAATCAGCTGAAACTGTTTCGCCGCTCACATGCCAGCTTGCAAAATTGAGAAACAAAATCAAGTCTAGATAGTTTATTTGCTAAATCCGATGCCACAAGACTACTCTTTTAGCAAATGCAACATCTTCTGGGGATTTAAAGGTTAGAAAATCTTATATACAGGGCTTTAGAGATGTGTCTGGAAACAACACAAAGCTGATCAGTTGATTTATCTGTTTAGTTTTTATTGCTGAAATGGCTGAGAGAATCTTTGCGCCTAATTAGAAAGTGTAAACACAGACCAGCAATCTAATAGCTCTATAACTGGATTTGTTTCCCGGGTGATAAGCAAAACTCAGACAGTGATTGCATTCTATGGCTGAACACGAAAGAGGGACATTAGAAAACAGTTCGATCAGATTTTCCTTTTCACGATAATCAAATGCGCATGGTGTTTATTTTTTTTTCCAAGAAGGGATTATTAATCTAAATGTTGCCATTACGAGGCTCCTCATCTTCAACGAAATAACCTTTGTCAGCACCTGCTCCTGAGCGACGTGCAGTTGTGCTAACAGCCCCGTCTGTACACACTCCGAGGCTTGTGCTTCACTTTACCAAGCCCTGTGCTTGAAAATATCCACCAAGAGCATTAAATATCTCTAAATTAGGGGTCTGTCCGGGTAAGTTCAGGGAACACAGTTCTTCCCTGAAGTCTTCCTCTCCACTGTACCTACCGAAGGATAGCATGCTTACCTACGTCAGTTGATTCATCAAGCTGGATGGCGAACTATCTGGATTTTTGTATCCCTACTCCCCCCGTGTGGGTTCCGGGGCCCCATTGTGGGGAAAACAAGAATAGACCCACTGCCTCTCCAAAAGCATGTCGTAAGAGTCGACTAATTGGGGAGCTTCCTTTGAAGTCGCAGTGCATCTGCCGGAGAGGCAAGGAACCAACAGTCTGTATTCAAGAGAATGAGATCTGTAAAACTGATGCACACGCAGCACTCAGGTTCTGGAGCAGGACTGCAGTTCAGTAATGGACGAGCAACCAGAACTTTCCGCTAGAGTGTACAGCTGGTGAACGCGAAGAAGAAGAAATATCCCTACTCCACTTTGGTTTTCAATATCGGTGGCCATATCAACAGTTCTCACATTAATGGTGGTGTTCGAACACAGTTTTTAGTAGTTTGAGGACCTAAAATTTCTCGTACGACATTTGAGATGCAAGGCCATACAAACTCTTTGCTAGTAGTGTCAGTTTTTTTCCCCTCTCAGTTTTAACTATTCAGAAAACAACCAGATAAGAAGCTCGAAGCAGCGACCTGTCATGAGTCGCCTTCACTTCCATTTAACTCCCCTGACTTCTCACCCTGTCATAACTGCCTGACTGACTTTCTACCCCACTAGGACATCACACAAGCGATAAACACCCGATGACACAATGTGCCACCATGTGGATGAGGATCACCGTGGAGAGGTCCCAGAAACCGCGTTCAGACAATTGGCCATATTTATGGCCTGCCTATATTGCGGCCCCTGGAAAAAGCCAGGGTGGGGCTTCAAATAACAAAAAATTTCGTCCTAAAAAGGACGTTTGGTTAGACCCTGTTATATAACTGCTACATGAATTAAAGCCTTTATTCCCAGCCCAGACTGGATGGACTGTAGATTCAATAACCGTTGATTGGCCTAATATAATTGTTTTATTCTGTTCAAAGGGTTTCTGAGATTTGTTCCTGTCTGATTCTCATCAACCTGCCCTAGCCTGTTAGAAGATTAGGCAAGATTGTTGCTGCCCACCTGGACTTCTCCATGGCCCACTGCTCTAAATCCGCATTTGTTGTCAGTCAATTGAGCTGCGTGTTCTTTTCTATGGAATGGTTTATATTGCTGGGTATTTAACATGTTTTATTCTTTTTAAATTTTGTTTAATACCACTCAATCCAATTTATTATGTAACTATGTACATCTTCACATTGGCAGAGCAAACGATCACGTGTTCTTGTTCCATCGGCCGCTGACGTATGACAGCAACAACATTGTATTTGAAAATGGGGATAGCAACCTGCTGTTGACGGTTTTGTTTGACGAATGGCCTGAAGATGTAAGCAAATGAACATAGTTTGGTAATGGTTATGAGGAATTTATGTGTTTGTTGAATGAAGTTAGATAATAAAATAAAAAATATTATGCTGTTAGAATTTGGTTTTAACATATTGCTGTGAATCGTGGACAATTAATAAGAAAAGCCAAACAATTGCTTGACCCATCGGAGATGTCTTTCTACACAAGAAAGAATCCTTTGGATCCCTTGGACAGCCAAAAAGGCAACCTAGATGTTTTGAAACAGGAGAGAGAGAGAGAGAGAGAGAGAGAGAGAGAGAGAGAGAGAGAGAGAGAGAGAGAGAGAGAGAGAGAGAGAGAGAGAGAGAGCTCGAGAGCTCGAAGACAACTAATCACAAACATCAGAAAGAGACAATCATTTTGTTATGGCCATATTATGAAAAGAAGAAAACTGGAACATGTTATGACCTCTGCCAGATCTGTGGAAAGGCAGACAGAGGAAGACGGCGAGAAGATTCTGGTCAGCCTTTTGTCGTTGCAAGGAGGGGAGTTGATACACGAAGTGATACACGCAGACTGCGAAGAGGCATGATCACGCACGCCAGTCGGCAAGGCACATGTTGATGTTATTTTTCTGCAAACATGTTGAAGGCGACCAGCCGTAACGGGATTTTTGCCCAGCTAAGAAAGTTTGCGAGCGTATCTTGAACCAAATTATGAATATATATATATATATATATATATATATATATATATATATATATATATATATATATATATATATATATATATATATATATATATATTGTTTATGTGTGTGTGTGTCTTTGTGTGTGTGTGTGTGTGTGTGTGTGTGTGTGTGTGTGTGTGTGTGTGTGTGTGTGTGTGTGTTTAAAAATAATGGTAAAGAAACGAATATTTTGTTTTACAATCTAGGTCTGTCTCTCAGTCTGACACTATTAAAGGTTAGCTGCGTATTCTTTACAGGACGTTGCAGAACCAACCCCAGCAGCTCCTGGCTGTTGTGTGGTTTTTATAGGCAAATTTACGTCTAGTAGTTTGCCATTCCTACTGGACAGTCGGACCCCTGATACCGCCGTCGAAACCAACGCAAGGTGCAGTGCCCGCAGCTGGGATCAAACCCGGCACCCCGGCATTACGAAGCGTTCGCATCGGCTCAGCCACAGAGCCGACTCTGACACTATAGCGAAACGAAAAAGTAGGACTGGCGGGCTTCACAAGAACATAATCATGCGACACAATATGAACGCTGTATCCCGAAAGTGGATCTACTACACTAAGCATTGATATAAATACAGTTAAGCTACAAAAATGCCACTTTGATGTTTGAAGCGTTTTTTTTTTTTTTTTTTACTGACAAACAACCACAGGGTACAGAAATAACATTAATTACCCTGGTCTCTGGAATGTGGAATTCCAAAGTGGTATTGGTAGAGATACAAATTGAGGAGAGAAATACAGCTACGAAACTATGATGAAAAGCAAATTAAATTGAAAGGTGCAAAGGCTTCGACTTGACAAAAAAGGTTATTTTTACTGTTGTGAAAAGGCCTCGACTTGACAAATAAAGATTATTTTGACTAAGTGGTGCAAAGGCCTCGACTTGATAAATTAAGGTTATTTTGACTAAGTGGTGTAAAGGCCTCGAGTACACAAAAAAAATGGTTATTTTGACTGTGGTGCAAAGGCCTCGACAAATAAAGCTCATTTTGAAGAAGTCTGGCATTATATATACACACACACACACACACACACACACACACACACACACACACACACACGCACACACTTAAATTGTATATGCACGGTCCAGACATGTGAAGTATATTAAAAGCGACGTGTAACTGACACGAATCTTATAGTGTGGTACTGACAAAACATACAAATTGATCTGCAACATTTCAATGTGAGGTGTTCCTACATCTGCAGGATCAAGTAAAGATGAATGCGTTTTTCTACGACTACGATGATTTCGATCACACGACGACCCTGGTGGATTGGTTCGAGACTGACCTGAGACATTCAACAAACTCCACTGACAAAGCTTCAGTCGGCTGGGGAAACTTCCAGCAGCAGACGGTCATTGGGAACAGACAATCTGATAAAACGGTGTACGTTTGATGTTTCCTATTAGTATCAGTAGTATGTTTTTATATATATACTGAAACATAATTTATGTTTTTGTGTGTGTGTGCCTGTTTTTACTTTTTATTTTTTTATATCTTTTCTTTTCTCTATCTGTTCCCTTCCTTGTCTTATCTTTTCCATGTCGTATCCATTTTTTAAAGATTTTTCTATGAGGGTTGCCAGAATATAGAAACCTTTAAAAGGTTCACATTTGGTGGGTGGGGGGGGGGGGGGGAGAGGGGCGCCAACTCCGTTTCGAAGTTTCAAGGATAACGACAGAAGTAATCAAAAAGCCTAAAACTGCTTTAAGTACATTAAAAAAAAAAAAAAACAATAATGATAATTTGTGAATGATAAGTAAATATAATAATATAAATGAAATAAAATTAAAGATATGGAATACATAGATAAGATACTTCTATAATGAATGTAAAGGCCCTTACACATTTTATAAGGATGTTCAAACCCATCCCCGAAATACTAAAATGTTCTTTTGGGGTAACTCAAATAAGCATGTCAACCACCGAATAGAGAAGAAGAAGAATAAGAAGGAGGAGGAGGAGAAGAAGAAGAAGAAACGTCCCAGTATTTTTAAAAGAACTGTAGCAGATGGCTTGACTGACTTTCTACCCCACTAGGACATCACACAAGCGATAAACACCCGATGATACAATGTGCTACCATGTGGGTGAGGATCACCGTGGAGAGGTCCCAGAAGTAGTAGTCAGCTTTTAGGCCATGACTGATTTTCTACCCCACTAGGACATCACACAAGCGACAAACACCCGATGACACAAAGTGCCACCATGTGGATGAGGATCGCCGTGGAGAGGTCCCAGAAACCGCGTTCAGACAATTGGCCATGACTGACTGACTGACTGACTGACTTTCTACCCCACCAGGACATCACACAAGCGATAAACACCCGATGACACAAAGCGCCACCATGCGGATGAGGATCGCCGTGGAGAGGTCCCAGAAACCGCGTTCAGACACTTGGCCATATGTATGGCCTGCCTATATTGCGGCCCCTGGCAAAAGCCAGAGTAGGGCTTCAAATGACAAAAAATTTCGTCCTAAAAAGGACGATATTGGATATTTACTATAATGCTAACAATTGGCCATATTTATGGCCAGAGTATATTGCGGCCCCTGTCAAAGCCAGAGTAGGGCTTTAAATAATGAAAAATGTCATCCTGAAAAGGACGGGAAGTTATAGCAGATGGCTTTGTTCCTTGAAGAAAGGGGAGGGGGGGGGGAGGATGATACGGAGAATGTGGACAAGTAATATTATTGATCACCATTGATTGTTATTTAAAAAAAAAAAAACAATAAGACACATACATCATTAATGCAGAGTCGTGTCTCTTTCCAGCCTTACATTTGAGTGGTCCGCTTTGAATGAAAAAGTCTACACAAAGTTAACCACTGGTACGAGTAAAGTGACTGTAGCACCAGCAGCTGAACCCACCCACATCACACGCCTTAGTACGTCAAGGGAAGCAACTGATTTTCTACGTCAAGCGTGGACAAACGCGCACGGCAGCGCTGACACAACCATCAATTTCCAGGAGGACTTTGGAGCAAAAGTCCCAGGTCTTCTCAAGTCTGTCTTTAAATCGTTACGATCCAAGAAAGAACATCCATCTAAACGTATCATGGAGGATGAGAAACTAATGCCGATTAATACAAGATATGCACATCATCACAGAGAAAGTTATTCTTCAAGTGATGACAAAATAAGTTCCGAAAACGATTTCATCAGATCCTCCAATTTCAGTCGCTATCCCAGACGCAAAGCTGGTTTAATTAAAGGAAAGCCTTCCAACTCCAACATGTCCACGTCACAGTCAATTCATGGGAAACTTGTCTCGCATAAGAGTGTACACAAGGCTGAAAGTAAATCCCCCGTGCCTGACGTTATCATACCTACATCTTCTCCCAGTCGAAACCTGCAAATTCAGCAAATTGAGAATTTACAATCTCCGTCTAGGGCGAGCATTGAAAGTGATGAAAGTGCTCATTTAGACAAACCGGAGCCTTTTCAAAATCGTCGTCCTTTCGTTAGACCTCGATCTTGGTTTAATAGTTTCAGTGATAAACTTTCGCCTGGGCCGTTGAATGGAAAACAACAGAAGTACAAAGAAAAACAGACCAAAGAATGGGGGAAATCAAACGATAAGCATGTGGAAAATGGAAAGAATGCCACTAACATAAAGAATAGTAAAAACGGCTATGACGGTGACTATTTTGATCGTCTGAATATCAAAGACGGCAGTTTTGTTGGAACAAAATCTAGCAGCGGAACCACTGCAGAAAGAACGAACTCACAAGCTTACAAAGATAAAAATTTGAATACACCTGGAAAAATTGCTCACCATAGGCCAAAGTCATTGATACATCGCATACATAAGCCAGGTCCCCAAGACCTAAAACTGAACTTAACAGAATCCCTTGCATCAAGATTTGGTGATGGACTACAAAAACCTAAAATAAGAAACTCAGATCTGATCACACTTGGCAAATCTATAAATGCGCCCAAAAGGCAATCTACAAAGGGACGCGTATTATCGGCAAATATTAAAAACAAAAGCCATGGAAACCACGGAACCATGGAATCAGTTACCGCTAGACCCGACTTTCAGCGGCAAATATTCTCGGATCCCTTTAGTAGTAGTACCACCACAAGTTTGTCTACCACTTCTTCAAAGGAAATCAAGAGATTATCTTCATTAGACCTAACACCAAAGAAAAGTAGGAAATTGTTCAAATCTCCTAGGACTAATTATAAAGTGACTAGAGGCAACTTGACAACAACTAACGTGACAAATCGGAGTGTTGAAACTGATAGTAAAGCGTCAGTGACAGTACTGCAAACAAAAGATTCACCAAAACCCAGTGCTCAGAAACGAATAGTCGTATACAAGTCAAATGTCACTATAAATAATAACATGACAAAAGATGGCAGAACTGACTTCCAAATTAATAAAATAGGCTTAAAAACTGGCCAGCCTAAAAACGTGGAGAATGACATAAACGATCCTTCGGGCTTCACTGACCATCCAGTAAACACCGATCAGACTTATCTACAAAAACAATATAAGAGCACTGTTTCTGCAAGAAAGAATGCCACAGCCATAACAAGAAAACTTCAGACCCCGTGGAGTTCAGACAGCAGTCACAAGAAACTACCGACTATTCGGAATAATAAATCTATGTCCACTCGTAAACTTCAGACGTTCAGCGTATCCATGAAACCGGCCAAAGGTTCGAGTGTATTGTACACGCCAACAAAATCAGGTAATGAAGTACATCCAACTTCAGAGCAGAGACGAAGCAAGTCGATTCATCAGTTTAAAACGCAAGTTCCAAAACTGGAAGCCTATACAAAAACGTTTATAAATGCCGCTGCTGCCATTGATCGTCCTCGTCTGAGTTCCTCGTTGAAGAACATTCCTCAGATTTTGAATAATTATGACAATAATGAAGGCTCTAGTCTGTTCAATAATTCAGTTCATAATGTAAAAATAAGTAACATAAAATTAAAAGCAAATGTACATGCAGCTGAAGCATCCGTCAGAAAGTTGCCTAAAGAAATTCTTGCCCCCGATCAAACAGAGGTTGCAAGAGAAGTGACCGCAGCGTCAGATCAACATTTTACACATAAATCACAATCTGCTGTGGCAAACTCAGTTGAACTATCCGATGAAACTACTGTTCAAATAACAAACGCTGGTGCGGTGGTTACACACCATGAAACAACAAGTAAGGGCCTGGTCGAGATGGAAAAACCCAGACTAGATAACAATCACATAGTAGCCAGTAAGAAGGCTAAAACAAGAACACGCGACGCAAATTTAGATATTAAAACATTTGTGCAACAAGCAGTCGTTGAGAATAGATTCGTGTCTTCTAAATTAGAAAGTGGAAAAAAATCAACAAAATCACCTCGTCAGAAGGCTGGTATTAAAACAGTAAACATTAAATTGAAAACAGAAGTAGAGTTAAATGACAATGATGTTGAGGAAAAGCGACATAATGCATTTACGGAAAGACACATAGAAGTATTTAAACAATATACCCCTGTATATAATCTCAAGGACAGTGGGAACGAAATGGGAAAAATAAAGCAACCGCCAAATGTTGAAGACAAGAGGCTGAATACAAACAGGCAACCTGCGGTTAAGAAATATAAAATTAATTTCACCTCCTTGCCAGAATTGTTAGAAGATAAAACATTGACACTGCAAGTAGATCAAATAGCAGATGGAAGAGGATTGAAGGGGGAAGCAGAACGAGATAATTACATCATGGATATAAATGTCGCCGCCCCATCTAATAATCATTACAAAATGAGACCCAAAACAGAGAAACCTCCTACTAGCGGAGAAATACTACACAAGAGCATCAAAACCTTGAAGGCTGTCAGATTTCAGACACACGCGCCTGTTCAATGGTATGTAACAGCGCAGTCAATTTTGCGCAACGCAGCAATAAATAAGGTACATCCGATGAAAGCTTCACAAAGGGCCCCTCATGATAATATACCAAACATTAAAACTGTTAATAGCAAAAAGACGAACGGTATTTCTCTTACTAGAATTCCCATCTCTGATACGAAACTACGTGATGTGCAAATGGATTTGATATTAAACACAGCTGGCATAAATAAAAGAATTGATGATTCATCAGATGGTGGTTCTCAAGCGAAGGAAGGATTCGAACAGCATGAAGCTTATGATGTCTTCAATAAAAAACAAGAAAGTAAGAAAGAGATTATTCTAATGCCGTCTCCTAACTCTGCCAGGGAAATAAAAAACAATGGAGGACTTTTATCGCGTACACTTGACAAGCAAATCAAAGATTACAATAATTTTAGCAACAATATTACAAGCACAAGGCAACCATTGAAAAGTTCTAATAAAAAATCAAGTTTTATCAAACAGGATGGGTCTATTCCAGCAGACACGAAACTTCAGAAATCGATTTTGCAGCAAAAGAGACGTTCAAATAACATTCAAGAACACGTCGACATATCCCAATATGCACAGCCTTCAGAATCTCCCGTTGAAACGAAATACGGCGTACGGATCCAGACAGATACATCTACTCAGTTTCCAAACTCCGTTGATGAGCTTTACGAGTCTAAAGTAGACTCCACTGGGCAGTCATTAAAAAAGAATGCGACAGTTAGATTTATAGATCCACGGCAAGTTGTTGATACGATAAGTAAAACACCATACAAGGCTGGCAATGGGCAGGTTGGGCGAGATTTAGATCGTACTATTTTTAGCAACAAAACATTTAACATTTCGTCAGCCACAAAATCTTACCTTACCAAATCGCTTTATACAAACAATTCATCTATTACAACAGCAGCACAGAAGATATTTATAGATTCCAATAAAACGGAAAATAGATCAACAATTGGTACACAGTCTATAGATGAAGCTGTGGATAGAACTTCCAATGATTCCTTCCAGAATGGAGCTACCAATGCTTCAAGTGTGGAGATCCTTAGCCGACGTCAAAATAAGCACACAGGCTCAGCTTTCAGAAATCAGGATCGGCAATCGCTTTTATCCGTTGAGCAAATTCAGGGTAATCTAGACACTCAACAAAAACATAATAAAACCTTGAAAGGTAAACAGAAGGTGGTAGACCAAGAAATCTTTCATGGTGAGATTTCTATACAATCATTAAATGGCAGAAGCAAGGAAGTACCGGAAAAATTTCAAAATCAATTCAATGAAAACAATTTCACAAGCACAATTAGAATTAACGAGAATGTACCAATCAGAACATCATATGAAGACGTCAAACCTTTAGGACAAGCATTTTTGCAAACGAAGATGACTCACTCAGAAAATAAACCAGTGAAACACAATCATGTGTCAGCAACTTATAACATCAAAACGGCAAACGAAGCTCCATCTATCGGGTTGTCAAGCCCAAGTAACTACGAGAAAGGGAACACGGCGTCAAATTTTCAGAATGAGAAGATGCAAACAAGTTCATATGTTGCACATTCCAAAACTACACTTCCTGATATTATTACACGACTGACTGATCATATAGTGAGCAATAATAATAAAGATACAAAGATAAGGAAAGAGAAAATAAGTAGACATATGCCAGACAAATCTGAAACCAGGAACAATTCGTTGTTAAAAACAGACGTCTCCAATAAAAAGATAGTTGGTATTATTGCATTACAAGATGTGACGCCAAAACAGCAAACCCAAGTTGCAGGTGCTCCTAGGTCCACTGAGAATGAGCAGAACCAAATCCCCAAAAGTGGCATATTATATGACAAATCAGAGAACTTGGTGAATGGAAAATATGATCAGCCTCAAGGATCTAAACCTGAGATTCTGTTTTCAGTCGAACATGGTACAAAACTTGCCTTCGGTCCGAAAACTACACTAAATTTACTGCAGAACAAAACGCATTTGAAATCATATCCTTCTAAAGACAAAATCCTTGAAAAATCCGGCAAGACAATCGCCAATATGAGCAAGGACACATTAAATTCAGTAGCGAATATAATTCTACAAAACAATCCGCAAATGTCGGTCACAAGTAAGACTTCAAACTTGACAAACTCAGCACAAAATGCATTTACGAAGAACATAGTTCCCTCAAAGACATACAGACAAAATACTTCTGGAGAAGAAGCTAAACCACAACAAAGCAATACAACAAAGCCAACTTTCATCCACATGAAAACCTCAGATACAAAAACGGGTGTAAACAAGAAAACACAGCGTCCTGCCTTCAGTAAGTCCCCATCAGGAGGATATACTACAGTAAGTCCAACAAAAGTCATGGTTGAAACTCAGTTGTCGGCTGCTAGTAATGGAACAGAACGAGATCCGTTCGAATTGATGAGTCTGTTTATGGCAAAACAGAATATACTGGAAGCCATACTGAAAGTACAGAGAAAACAAACTACCACTACTGAAACCCCCGTAAGTAAAACGTTGGTCAGCGCATCTGTGTCTTTTAGTAATAAAAACACCAATAAAAACACCAAGCTGCCAAATAATATAACGGTTGCAAGTAAAACTAGTTATAGTAAAACTGTGTCACCTTTCATGTCACCTTCTAGAGATTCCTCTTCGTGGGACGTCAACAACAGCAAAGGGAAAATTTCGGTAGATAGCTTGGAATTAAATGCTGACGTACGTAAAAACATAACGAAACAAGGATTTATTGAAGAAAAGCACAGGCCAAAGTCTACAGAAGAACCCAAAACTAAAAAATATACAACACAACAAATAAAGACCACACATAAAACCATTTCTTCGGTGTCACCGAGATCCACCTTAACAACTAATGCACAAACTGTTCGTTCAAATGAAAAAGTAACACGGTCGGAGACAACAAAGCTATTAGCTGGAGGAAAAGATACATCAATGTTACATATAACTGCACGTGTTAAACCAACACAGCGAGCAATGAGAGCAAATACAACACAGCTTCAGACAACAAGTCAACCTATAAGAACTTCTGTATCAAGCAATGCAAAGAATTTAAATATTAGTTCTTCAAGATTACAGTTTCAAGAAGAAATCAAAACGACTCCAATATTGAATCAAATAAACGCCAACATAAAAAACTGGGAATACCCAGGTATTAGGCTGCCGGTATTGGGGCCAGATTTTGACCAAAACGGTACAAAAATTGTGTACTCGCCTGGCAGACCTCATTCTGATGAAGCCACTACCTCAAAGACAATATTTAGCCCAGTGTATTTTCCCCGTGCTTCCATGAACACTCTACCTGAGCACGGGTTTGTCTTGCACACTCAGTCATTCAGAGACAACCCTGGCAAATCAAATAAAAAGCAACCAGATGGTCTACCTCTTCCTAAAATATCAAGAACAGATAACAGCGTCCGCCGACATTCTATATATCGTGAGATGAATCTAGACAAGTTCAGGAGCTACGTCAATTCCATTCGTAACTACCCAACCGTTAAAGTTCCTTACCATGGACTTTACAGACCGGAGGACCAGGCCAACGCCGCATTAGATGGGGCGGAAGTTGCCCGACTACCGCAGCCTGGCAGACGCTATGGAACATTCTATTCTTCTGTGTCCAGTGTTGGTGCTGTCTTCACTCGCTACTGGCCAGCCGTCCTTGGCGTGTCTGTTGGCACTATTTTCCTGGTCACAGCTTTGGTTACTTCGATTTTATGCCGGCAGCGCAGGTAAGTCTGTTAACTGAAATATTTAATCATAATTTGTTTAGTTGGTCTTCTGGGTATTTTCCCCCTGTTGCCTTTGATTGATGTACACAGTACAACTATTTCATCTTGAGGCTTTTTTTTATTAACATTCATCTAAGATCTGGCAAAACTGCAACGTCTTCCCATTAGCAGAACCCAAATAACCTGCCATTTTGTTTAGCTAGTTGGTCGTGCATGGTAGCGCATGCATTACGAAGCAACAAATGATGATAAAATTATGTCTGAAACTCTAAAAGGTGCTGCTGTGGCAACATATTTTATGAAACAAGATTATGGAGATCAATATTTATCTCGTGAGCAGATATTCAAGGGGAACCGACGTGGTGTAGCGGCTTGCGGGCCCAAAAGATCGTCGGTTCAGGTCCTAAGGTCACCATACTTTTTTGTTGTTGCAAAAATAACCCTGGCTCCCAGTCGACCCAGCCATAAATGGGAGCCAGGTTAAGTCATAGGAAGTAAAGGAGGCTGGTGTGATGTCATCAACCACCGAGTACCGATCGATCAATAAAATATAATACACATGAGGGCGCGAAAAGGGTCCTTTACTTTACACAGATATGCAGGTGGTATAAACGCTTTTAAAACTGTGTGGAAACATAAAAGATGATGTATTTCAGAATGTGACAAACCGACAAACATTATTTTTCGTTTTCACTAAAATGTTAAGAATACTGCTTGGTTATCCTCATCCGCATGGTGGCACTTTGTGTCACCGGGTCTTTGTCGCGTGTGTGATATCTTGGGGGGGGGGGAGGTAAACTACCTACCTACCTACCTACTAAACATCCTCCTCATAGTCATATATTGATCGTTCTTCGTGTATCCTTTCTTCAACTTTGACAATGAGTTAATCATTACAGACGTAAATCTGACGTCACGGACTAGCTTTATCATTGGTCTTTTTTAACATCAGTCTCATTTATTTGACTTTCAAAATGTAAAATTAAATCTCTCTCTCTCTCTCTCTCTCTCTCACACGCACACACACACATTCCCGTTTATTGTACGTATAAAATCCCGAAATCTCGACTAATATAAAAACTAGAAATATAACATTTAGTGTGGCAACTCGTTGAATAAATATAGGTAGTGAACTAACTGAAAGGGGAAACATTTTTATTTAAGTAAATCTTCTTTTTTTTTTTTTTTATAAATTGTATATTTCATTGCTATATTTTGTAGCCTTTTCGACAAATCTAAATTGTAAAATTATGTCTAAAATATTTAGAAATATCCTAAATGTGTGTGTCCTCGTGTTCTGAAAGATGATATAATGACTGATGAGACAGTAGAGAACGTGGATAGAGAAGATGAATAGAAAAGGTGGATTACGTACTGCATGGGCTTTTATGATGCGTAAATGGAGAAAATTTTGTGCAACAGGTCTTTCTCTTTGGATGTCCGAAAGAGAATACTAAAATGTTATGTAGAACCTATATTGCAGCATGGTAGCGAATCATGGAATGTGAATGCACAAATAAGAAAGAATCTGGAGGCGTCGGAGATGTGGTTCTTCGGAAGAATGTTAAGAATCCCTTGGACTGCCGGAGTGTACTAACGAGGATTGTTTGAAAGAAGCTAATGAAAGCACATCAGTATACACAGCTATAAGGAAAGGACAATCGCTGTTCTCGGAAGAATGTTAAGAATCCCTTGGACTGCCGGAGTTTACTAACGAGGATTGTTTGAAAGAAGCTAATGAAAGCACATCAGTATACACAGCTATAAGGAAAGGACAGTCGCTGTTCTCAGAAGAATGTTAAGAATCCCTTGGACTGCCGGAGTTTACTAACGAGGATTGTTTGAAAGAAGCTAATGAAAGCACATCAGTATACACAGCTATAAGGAAAGGACAATCGCTGTTCTTTTGTCACGTGATGAGGAGTGTGGTTTGGAGAATATTGTGACGTCTGGGAACATCAGCGGTAGAAGAGAGAGTTTTAAAAAGTTAGTTGCGTATCCTTTACATGATGTTGCAGAACCAACCCCAGCATTTTTTGGCTGTTGTGGTTTTTATAGGCAAATTTACGTCCAGTAGTTTGCCATTGTTTTCTGGGCGTTCGGCTTCTTGATAGAAGAGGGAGAGGTGGATGAATTGCGACAGCGGCACGGAGGGATAACATCGGTGGAACTGATCCAGCGGGCAAATCACCGAAATGTATGGAGATGCAAGAAGCTGCCTATGCCAATTGGCAGGGTACGTGGTGATAATGATGATGAAATATTATTAAGATCATTATCATAATGACCAGTATAATTTCTTAGCGATAAGAATGTTGTAGTACGAGTACAATTTTATACTGCCTCAGAAGATGGGCTTTTATGATCTCCTATGGTTGATTACGTTGCGTAACTCTAAACGCTTGTTTGTGAGTACCCGCGCTTGCGTCTTTACGCGTTAATAAAAACATGTAAGAGAATCCTTACATCTCAGGTTGTGAGCAAACTGATAAACAACAAAGAAATAAGACGAATTCAAGAAAAGTGAAGAAATTAGAGAATTGCATTGACAACCACTGGTATAAACGGTTAATACGACCCCAACATAAAAAATGCACTATATAGGGCACATCCCGAGAGGTTGCGGGCAGATATTCACCAAACAGGTATTGAAATGGAAAAGAAATGGATGGAGAGAAACCAGAACGTCAAAGAGAAACTCTAACACGAACGTTGAAAACAGTGGTCAAAGCTGTTGGACTGGATTCCACCCATATCACAAGGATTGAAGGTGAATGTTGCGAACATCTCCCCTAACAGAGTTAGCCCCGCCCATTTACGCACCAGGTCACTTTTTATTCATACTTGGTTCGGCTGGTCAACTTTGCTGACGGTTACGGAGGTGTCCCGCGGTATTGTTTGCTCGTAAACCTTTCTGCGTTGTCTTCCATTTACGTTTTCATTTCGACAAAGAGAACGCTTGTGACATAGGTTGCAGCACTCTCATAAAAAAAGGAAGGGGGAGGGGTTTATTAGGGCCAGTCCTGCCTGTTTTTGGAGTGTTAGAAGCACTCTTCTGCAGTATGCTATTTTTGTCCACAGAATGTTGATCCAGCGCGTTAGATGGTCAGACTCGCCCCAGCACGTGACTGAGCCACCTGATACCAGCGAGTATACTTCGTCCTCGGAAGCTTCGCTGGCCAGTGACCTCACCCGGTCTTCTATTCATCTAATGTGATACATCATGAAAGACAGCGAATGATCGCATCCTAGGACATATTTTATTTTCAGTACGGTAACACTGACCTAATGGTCGTCTGAAGCTATAAATTCGATGGTTTTCAATCTTTAAATGCAGTAGTGGGCCATTATGAGTTGAAAATATAACTGACTATATTCCGCTGATATTTGCTATTGTGAAGTATACACACACTCCTTGTTCTGCTGTTTGTATTGAGGTATTAAATTAATGAAAAACCGTGGCGCATTTAAGTTTAATATCTTTCTTAGTGTGGTTATTGACAGTCTCTAGTTGCCAGATTGGAAACTGTGTTAAGGTTAACTGACTGAAAGAGCGCCATTTTGTTCGAGAAGGGAACGTTTAATGACGTTTGTCTTTCGATGACGCGGGAAAGGGGAAGTTGGGTGGTGGCATGTCACACAACCAAGGAAACAGCTTCCAGGTTTACACAAGGGCAGTTTGTGTGATGCCGGTAAATGTGTGTCCGTTATCATATATTTTTTAAATGGTTTTAAATCAGCGGTAGTAGTTTTCGGAGAGTAGCTGGTGTAATTAAAAAAGTAAGGCTTCGATGCTTTAAATAGTTTAGGGTCTCTTCAAGTCCTAATCCGATCCTGCATGTATATGCCCAGAAGAGCTGGCAGAGAGAAGACAGCAGGTGTATGCTCCGAGTAATTACGTTATGAGACATGTGCCAGGTAATTGTACGTATATTCATGTATACAAGAAAGCAGCAATCACGTGCTGAAAGTGGTCAAAGTTGGAAAGTCACAATGAGGCTTCAGAGGTGTGGCTATACAGATGAAATGATGCTGTAGTTCACGAAGAAGAAAAATGAAACACAATAAAATAAGAAGTTCTAGAGATGTGGTATGAAAAGAGGTTTGTTGAAGGGAGTAACACAAAGGAAAGTGGAATATTTTGCCCCATTAGGGAAAAAAAAAAAAAACATAATAGTGGGACTGGGGAAAGAGGGGAAAAAACGGGGGGGGGGGGCTTCCGGGAGTGAGAGGCGTGTTTGGGGCAAGAGATAAATAGCAATATAAATGGGAGGATAACATCAAGAGATGGATACAGCAGTCTGTCAGTGTTCAACCAGGGTGACAGAAAGTGCTGGAGATACATTGCAGTCAACCTTCAATTTGGGGATGACATCTGACAATATAACACTTTTATGTGATTACTTTACAAAATGTAACTACAGGTTTGATAAACGCACAAACTGTGACCTCACCTTTAAACCATCATATGTTTGATGGTTAATTTCCTTCGACGCTTATGCTCAGAACAGGACACTGATGTTTTAGCGGACTGCCAGCACACGAACACTATCAGCCTAAAAGACGTACTGCCACCAGCATTGTACAGCGTGGTTTGTTGTCTGAATTCAAGTCCAATGGTAACAATTTGTGAATAGTTCAGCACTGACGGGTCAAAGCGAATAGTAAAATGTATGCATACAGATTATGGAATCCTCACTGTGTGTCATTTCGGCTTAATCACGCAGATGACAGGTACAACCCTCCCCCCCCCCCCCCTTTAAACATGCCACTCCATTGAAAACGTAGTTTGATAAATGCCCTTGGATATTTTTTTTAAGAGATTCATGTTGTGGTTTCTCCTTGTATTCCCCACACATGTAAGACAGTCCTGTATGGAATGGATGTTTTATTGCTACTAATTTTGAAGGCTGGTTAATCCTCAGCATATAACCCAGAAACATTCATGTGCTCTTGACCTGAATTACATTTTACACTAACATGTCAACTCTTTAATTATGTGATGATCATTAAGGAAATGGAGAAAACTGTGATGATAAGAAAATCAATGACAGAAGAGGCAAAGGCAGACAAACAGGAGAATGTCACATGTCAGTAATAAAACAACTTAAAGAGCGATACAGTATCACACTTACTATTATTACCTTAATACTTGAGATATTTTTTGTTAGAGTACGTCTTCCCTTACATTTCAGTGACCCATTTCCCATACAGACAATGCATATAAAACTATTAAATGCTCTCCTACAAAGTAGTTTGCAGACTTACAAACTGGCAAATACCTTAACCAAGAAAAAAGTTATCTGCACAGGACTTTGGCACACAATTGTCATTCAGACAGTTTAGTGCAGTCTTTTCCATTTGGGATTACCCCGTGGATACACTGAACAAATTTAAGTGGTTAGTGATATTTAAGAGAGAAAAAAAACTTTCATATGCAATTCCTTTTTTTATGGTTCTAATATTGATAATTATAGTTAAAGTTAATGGTATGTGCTTATTAATGTTAATAGTATCTGCTAGTTAATGCTAATAGTATCTGCTAGTTAATGTTAACAGTATCTGTTAGTTAATGTTAATAGTATCTGCTAGTTAATGTTAACAGTATCTGCTAGTTATTGCTAATAGTATCTGCTAGTTAACGTTAACAGTATCTGCTAGTTAATGTTAATAGTATCAGCTAGTTAATGTTTACAGTATCTGCTATTTAATGTTAATAGTATCTGCTAGTTAATGTTAATAGTATCTGCTAGTTAATGTTAACAGTATCTGCTAGTTAATGTTAATAGCATCTGCTAGTTAATGTTAATAGTATCTGCTAGTTAATGTTAATAGTATCTGCTAGTTAATGATAATAGTATCTGCTAGTTAATGTTAACAGTATCTGCTAGTTAATGCTAATAGTATCTGCTAGTTAACATTAACAGTATCTGCTAGTTAATGCTAATAGTATCTGCTAGTTAATGCTAATAGTATCTGCTAGTTAATGCTAATAGTATCTGCTAGTTAACGCTAACAGTATCTGCTAGTTAACATTAACAGTATCTGCTAGTTAATGCTAATAGTATCTGCTAGTTAACATTAACAGTATCTGCTAGTTAATGCTAATAGTATCTGCTAGTTAATGCTAATAGTATCTGCTAGTTAATGCTAATAGTATCTGCTAGTTAATGCTAATAGTATCTGCTAGTTAATGCTAACAGTATCTGCTAGTTAATGCTAATAGTATCTGCTAGTTAACATTAACAGTATCTGCTAGTTAATGCTAATAGTATCTGCTAGTTAACATTAACAGTATCTGCTAGTTAATTTTAATAGTATCTGCTAGTTAACATTAACAGTATCTGCTAGTTAATGCTAATAGTATCTGCTAGTTAATGCTAATAGTATCTGCTAGTTAATGCTAATAGTATCTGCTAGTTAATGCTAATAGTATCTGCTAGTTAATGCTAATAGTATCTGCTAGTTAATGCTAATAATATCTGCTAGTTAATGCTAATAGTATATTCTAATTAATGTTAATAGTATCTGCTAGTTAATGCTAATAGTATCTGCTAGTTAATGCTAATAGTATCTGCTAGTTAATGCTAATAGTATATTCTAATTAATGTTAATAGTATCTGCTAGTTAATGCTAATAGTATCTGCTAGTTGATGCTAATAGTATCTGCTAGTTAATGTTAATAGTATCTGCTAGTTGATGCTAACAGTATATTCTAATTAATGTTAATAGTATCTGCTAGGTAATGCTTATTGTAATTAGTTAGTTAGTTAGTTAGTTGGGTTATCATCATTGCACTCCGAACATGTCCATAGGTGCTCAGATCCTCCCCTCAGTATGAACCCCAACGTCCAATGGCTAATAGTACCAGTTCTATGTTGACTAACAAGTCTTCTGGCGTGTCTGGTGTGCGTCTTGTTTTTTGCTATGCCGATCTTAATTCCCAAGTCTGCTATTCTGGCAAGTGATGTGGATTCACTGTCCCCAAAGTCCTCTATCCTTCCCATTTTGGTAATAGTATCTGCTAGTTAATGTTAACAGCATTTACTAGTTGCCATTAAGTACATTTATAATCTCAAAGTGGAGATAACCCAAAAGAAAGGTTGATTGTGAATGTCAATAAATCAAAAAGTAATATAAGATATGCTTTCACCATTTATAGTTCAGCAGAAACAAACACATTCCACTATGTTGTTAAATGGTGTAAACTAATAGTGTCTTTAAAAAAAAATATATGAAACAGTAATAATCTCGTTCAGAAATTACTTCATTGTCTTTTGTGTTATTCCTGTAAAATAATTCAGCAATTATCATTTACTAATAAAAATAACTAAGCCTACCTCTGTCTGAGTGACATGGCTTACTGACCGCAGCCTCCTTATTATTCTTTACATGAAGACGCACACACACCTGAATATCCAGCAACTCATCTACAGTTTGTTTCTACTTACATATATTTTTTCTTAACTCGTTATGCTTTAAGACCCCCACCAGATTTTGCTTAACTCTTGCAGTACCAGGCAACTAACTCATTCAGCTCATTGGGTAGTTAAAAGACAGTTCACTTCTCTGACACTCTTCTGTCACTGACTATTGTTATGCTAATTTGTTCAATCCTAATTGTTAGTTCTGTCCCATAATGTTATTTTAATTTATCCTCACTCAAATATTAGCTATTCGGGATTCAAAAGGTTAAAAGGGTTAAAATAATCACTGACTGGTATTTTAAAAAAAATAACAATAATTAAAAGTTACGTGTCCTCTACATGGCGTTACTGCAATACAAGCAATTTTTTGCTCTTTGTGATATGACTAGGCAATTTTACCGCTTTCCATTGCTACTGAATGTTGGCTCTTGATACCACTGTTGAAACCAATACAAGGCAGACTGCTGACAAATCACCCACAGCTGGAATTAAACATGGCACCTTGTCATTATGAAGTATGTTTACAACACCTAAGCTACAGACCATAGTCTGGTACGAAAAAATTAAAGTAATAACTTAGAACAGAATCCAAAAACTGCAAAGTAGGATCACATGGTAAAAGTAATTTTCACGTAAATAATATCCAGCTTAACCCTCATAACAATAACTGGGATATGTAGAGTGCATTTGTATTTTCATGCATACTTTCACAATGGGTTAATGAATTGACTGTGCTGAATTCAGTGTTGGAAAAACCCAGAGACTTCAGAAACCACTATTTTTGTAGGAG